AGGCGCCAGAATGCAGGTGAAAGCTTCCTAAGTTAAAAGAGGAAATTAAATGGATATGAAGCCCGACAAACTTTAAAAGAGCAAGACTAAGATGCTAAGATGCCTAAGATGCCTAAGATGCCTAAGATGCCAGGATATTTATGATGGTAGATCGACGACGGGGCGTAATCTTTTGTATTACCATTACGCGTGTCGGTTGAGTTACGCCTTAGAAATAATATGTCAAACTGTCTCGTGTTTTGTGTGTGTTTAAGGTCAGAATGACATGTAAAAAGCCGTAAGAATGGTTTGCTGGGCTTCAAACTATTTTCCTCTTTTTAAAGTGTCCTCATATAGGAGGAGAGTTTCGTTCTATTGGGCCTTGTAGTTGCCAACAATATAGCGGGGAGCGACCCGTGAGCCTCCCCCTTAGATCTTGCGTCAACCTCCAATAACAAATCTTGGCAGTGACAGAAGATTCCATTGAGATATGTCCAGACAGTTTTGTTTAGGGAGGGGGGTACCTCTGGTCCCTCCTTCTTCAGCAAAAAGAAGAAGCACTCTGTTAGGCCCCTTCCCTGGATCCGCTATAAACTTTGCACTAGAGGAAGGTTCTTTTAACATAATCCCAACGAGTTTGTTTTTCGATCGACGATGTTTGTTAAAAACGTATTAACGCTCGCCTTGATTTCTCAAAATTATATATGTCAGCGCCTCGAAAACTAAGTCGAACAATGATTATGAGAAGAAGGGTAAAGTGAGAATTTTTTTCTCTCTTTGTTCTTTTTTCATAGGTTCGCTTTTGTGCAAAGAAGGATCCTGTCTCAATGGAGGTACGTGCATCGAACAAGCCGATACTCTTACTTCTTGCAGGTAAGCTCAGGTAAGGGTCCGGGTGACTTAAAAACGTTTTGAGCTAGATTTCAAAGAAGAACAAGGAACGATTACAAAAACTTGTTTGACCTAAGCCACTGACGAACCTAATTCATTTTTAATATATTCATAGCAGTTCTGTAGGCTTTGTTTTCCTCGTGTTCCATTTATAAAAGCGTGAGTGTCAGTATTTCATTTATCCCTATTCTATATTATACTTTATTGCATTCTCAGAATGCCGCAGACCTAATTAACTAAATATTTTTTTCCTTTTAGCTGTCCTCCGAAGTACAGTGGAGTCAGATGTGAAATATTCATTCCAACCCTCCCCCCAGTGGATACTAAAT